CGGCCTTGAGATATTATCATTGAGCTGACCGGCCCCAGGCAATTCACTAGAAGTTGGTTTTACTCATCAAGTTCCATCATCTGGATTCGAACGCAGGTCTGTATTTCAACAGTTCATGGGTGTACCCACTGAGCTAGGCTCTTGGGTTAAAAAGAGTTTCTTTGGAAAGAGGATGCACGCCTTTTCTATTTGTGGATATGAAGACAAGTCGTCATTCCGTGCTGTCACTTTCGCCACTTCGCGTTTTTCGTTTTTTCGTCTGTTTCGTCCACACCGATGTTTCGCATTCCTTTCCTTTTTCCTTCTTCCTTCCTCTCGACATGCACAACAGACAAAAATCATGGCGGTGTATCTTTCCATATTCTAGCGGAAGATTCACTCTTGTTTTGCACATTTCGAGAGTAGTCGAGCGAGGCCCTTTGTGCTTGACAAGTCCGCGAGTCCGCCACACTCCCGTGTCCGTACCGCCGCGCCTACTGCCGCTCGCTTGTTTTTTTTTTTTTTCGGTTTTTCTTTTTTGGGCGCACGCTCGTGTCTCTTTCCATACCACTTCCCAAATGTGAAAACTAAAATATAAGGGCATCGCCACACCACTCTCGAAATGTGCAAAATGAGAAAGAACATCCTGCTAGAAGATGGCCAGGTGCACCCGCCACATTTTGGTATTTTTCACATTTCGAGAGTGGTGTGGCGACGCCCTAAAATGGGCGGGCACATCTTCGCCAATTCTATGGAGGGCCCAGGGCCCCATTGGCGTCAACATTTATTATTATTACTATTATTTTTAAAGGGCGTCAACATTTATCGTTGGCAATGCATTGCTTTTCTGTTGTTAAAAAACAATAAAAAAAATAAAAATAAAAATAAAAATCAGAAAAGACCGTCGTCCCTTCGGGTTATGAAGCGCCACATTGGCGACTCGTTACGTCGATCAGCAGCTCTGCCTACCGGTACCAGCCATTTGCACTTTCCGCCCGTTGTTGCCGCGGAATGCCGCACGTTGTCGCACGTTCGCCGCAATTGGCCTTCAGCAAGTGTCGCACGTGCTCTCATCTTTCCCGCCACTGCCGTTAGCTGGCTGTGTTCTGCGCTGCTGCGCTGTGCGCACGTTTCGGAACGATGTTGCCGCACTTTGCCGCAGGTACCTTTTACTCGCACTACGTAGGACATGTACGGATGCATCTGGCTTTAATTACGTCCAGCGCTGGATGTATGTGGCTCCAATCACGTCCAGAGCTGTGTCATAAAGGTGCTCGTCTGAATACGCCCTCGCGCGTGATCCTACGTGGCCGCATCCCCACCACAGATGCGCGCCGCGCGGCCGCGCGGCCGCGCGGGAAGCGACAGTGCGTCCGAATGAAATTCTCCAATCGGTCCTTCGGGACCGAGAAGATTAGCATGGCCCCTGCGCAAGGATGACACGCATAAATCGAGAAATGGTCCAAATTTTTAATAAAAAAAAACAAAATTCCTCCAATCGTGCGGATCGAATTCCTGCTTCCAAAAAAAAAAAAAAAAAAATTACTGCTTCCGTCGTCACCTCACGCTCCTCCACGCAGCAGCGTAGACCGGGCGCGCACTCGTCAACATCTCGGGCGCACTTCGACGCACTTTCGGCGTTGTGTTCATGCTCTCGGAATGTGGTCGTTATGGACGCCACATACGTCCAACAGAAGCTGCTGCTTTTTTTTTTCTTTTTTCTTTTTTTTCTTTTTTTTTCGATCTATTCGTGGGAAGCTGCACCTGCTGGAAACCCGGTTATTCTTATCTTACGTGTACCTGAAACAATATATTACATTCCCATGCCAATTTCCGCGCAAGCCCGCTTCCCAACCCATGAGTGCGCCGCTATGCCAATTGCCGCGCAAGCCCGCTCCCGCTTCCCGCCATGAGTGCGCTGCCGACTCAGCAGTCGCGGAAGGGAGGAGAGCCGTTGCGATGTCATCTGCGCTGCTGCCAGATCATTCGGTCCCGCGCCAGCAAGCCAAACTGAGAAAATTGAAAAAAAAAAGGAAAAAAAGAAACAAAAAGTAAGAAAATTGACTGCTCTGAGAGAAGTATATAGCTTCGGTTAAAAAAAAAAAAAAAGAGAGAGAAAAAACAAAATTTGACTGCCACCAGGCGCATCTGTGCGTGAATTGTCCACGCATGAAAGAGTGTTCATGCACAGCTGGTCATGCGCTCGAATCGTACGGATAAAAAAAAAAAAACTTATGTGATTTTTCCAACGTGCGAATTCAAAATCGCATTCACTCTAAAAAGGTGAATTCCAAATTTCCAAAAACGAAAAAGGCGTGAAAACTGACGACACCCAAAAAAAAAAAAAAAAAAAAAAAAAAAAAAAAAAAAAAAAAAAAAAAAAAAACGACGACACCTCATTGGCAGCAGCAGCCTACCTTCTTCCCCCGAATACAACGTACGGTCATTATAGCTGTATCTAGACTGAAAGATGCCGCAAATACAGCTGTAATGACCGTACGTTGTATTCGGGGGAAGGAGGTAGTGGCCGAATGCCGCTCACAAAAATGCGTGTCTATAAAAGAGGTGAAGAGCTCGAACACCTTTGTGGCCTTGCAATTTATAAAACATTCATTGCCCCCCGCGACAGCAAGCCGACCTGAAAAAAAAGTCCGTTCCAACCTCCAAATTCAAAAACCAGGTGTTTATTCTATTCTCGAAAGGCGATTTCCTAAAACGGAAAAGCTGAAAAAAATACCCAAGAGCCTAGCTCCGTGGGGACCACACGCATGAACTGGGGCCAAGTCCCACTAGCAGCGTTGAGCTACCTCAACGCCCGAATCTGGACGTGTTTGTGGAGACGTGCAGCTCAGGAAACTCAACACCATGTCTGCACATCTCCCCCAAAGCGTCCAGATTCAGGCGTTGAGGTAGCTCAACGCTGCTAGTGGGACTTGGCCCCTGTTGAAAATACAGACCCGAGTTCGAAACCAGATGTCAAACCAAAAAAAAAAGAAAAAAGAAAAAAAAAGGTGAAAAAAATCGAGCCGTCATATGGTGCCATTCTTGTGGCTGAATGACACACACACACACATCTCATAGCATGTATCATTATTGTCTATAATCGGAGGGGGAGAGTTCGAATCCCATGACAAATAAAAAAAAAAATAACAAGCAAGCAAGCCTCGACCTGAAAATAAATAATGTAATGGGCCTCGCTTCAACCACACAACAGTCCGAATGCATTTCTCATCTACCCGAGGTCCAGATTCATTCAAATCAAAAAAACTTTGGTGTTCCCGAATGTATTGCGTCGTGACTCAGTCCAGATCCATCTGTCTGTTGAAATGCTGCCAAATGAAGCGAAGAACTCCGGCATTCGGGCAGCCTCCTTGATGCCCAAAGTGACCTTCGCTGCAAACCAAAATGGCAAATTCATATATATAAAAAAAAAGCAAAAAAAATCCAAAAATAATAATAATAATAATAATAATAACAATTAAAAAATGGCAAAAAAATCAAAAGAAAAAAGAAAGAAAAAAGAAAAGGCAAAAAAGGCGATGAAGGAGGGTCCCGCAAGGCGCAGGTAGTGGGGCCCCGGGGCCAAGTCCCACTTACGCTGATCGTTCATTCTTGGCCATTGATCTTCGTAATCGATGGTCGGCAATTGAGAATTCATGTAAGTGGGACCTGGTCCCCGACCTATGGTACTCGACGGCGACCTACCCGGGCCGTGGTCCCACTAGCAAAGGGGATAGGAAAGAAATCCTGAATCTGGCTATGTTTTATGCAGAGATACAGAAAACCAGTTCTATCTCGATTTCCTGCTCCTGTCCTCAAACACGTCCAGATTCAGGCATTCAATCCTATGCTCTTTGCTAATAGGACCACGTCCTTCGGGACATCCGTTAAAATTGGAACGATACAGAGAAGATTAGCATGGTGGTCCCCGTAGACTCGCATTTGTCGTTTTCTGTGTTCTCGGATTTGTCGTTTTATGTTTCTTTGTTCGCTCCGTGCTGAGTACAGACCGTCTCCTTTTTTGGCGTTTTCGACCTTTTCGACACTTTTGGCGTTTCCCGCTTTTGCTTCCCAATCGACACGTGTGACGTGGTTAACCTTCTGTAATCAAATGATATAATTCTACTTCTTCTTTAAAAAAAAAAAAAAAAAAAAAAAAAACTTCAGAGGAAAAGGAGCGAAGAACAGGAGGAGGAAACATATGACGTGACGAGCGCCTTGCTGACGTGTAAGCTCACCGGCTGCCACTTTTAGATATTGGGCCTCGCTCCGCTACTCAGCACCCTGTATGCATCTGGACTCCTTGCTGGACCAGGTGCGTTTGGAGGAGTCCTACATTTGGAATGTATCGGGACGTTTATCAACACCAGATGCAGATAGAGTGTTGTGTAGAGGAGCGAGCCCCACTCTGTGGAATTCCCACCGTAGCTCTCTGTTGGCACACCCATGAACTGTTGACATGCAGACCGAAGTTCGAATCCAGGTGGAATCAGATCATCAGAATCAAACTATTCTGATTTTTTTTTTTTTTTAGGTGGCCTTGAATCATGCTGAAGACGAAAGAAGAAGAAGATATTCTGTGGAATTTCTAATCAGATTCGCATTTTGAAATTTAGTATTTTTCTTTTTTAAGAAAAAACGCCTTGGAATTCTATTCAAATCAGGCCCAGTGCCCAAAGCCTATTATACATGAACGAGCCAATAGCAGGGACGGTGGGCCTCAACCTTCAGCTCTACCTTCTTCCCCCGAATAGAACGTACGGCCATTATAGCTGTACCTAGACTGAAAGATGCCTCAAATACAGCTATAATGACCCTACGTTGTATTCGGGGCAAGAGGGTAGCATTTGATCCACGCTCCATGGAATTCAAAAGTGTAATTTATCCGTTCAAAGGAGACCCTAAAGACATCCCAATCCTGTACACAGCTTTCCTTATGTGCTGTATGTATCTGGACGTCAAAATAGTCCCAGTTCATTCCACAATGTCGGAACCGTTGCAATGAACCTGGCCGAGGATAGTCAACAGGTACATGCCCAAAGCTGACTACCTGGTAGTGGCGTTTCGCAGAAGTTACGGGAAGTGAATTTCACGCCAATAATGAAACGCGAGTTTGATTGGCGGCACGAATCGTCTTCCGCGGGCGCCTGCGGCGCAACGCGGCGCAGCGCGGCGGAGCGCGGCGGAGCGCGGCGGAGCGTGGCGCCACTTGTGTTCTCTCTTCTTTCTTTTTCTCTTTTTTTTTTTTCTTTTTTTTTTTTCACCCTTTTCATTTAGCGTTGCATTGAAGCAATGATTGGGAGCGAGTCGTGTGGTTGTCTAAGGCCACGTCCCGCTAGCAGCGTTGAGCTACCTCAACGCCTGAATCTGGACGCTCTTGCGGAGATATGCCGAAATGGTGTTCAGTTTCCTGAACCGCACGTCTCCACAAACACGTCCAGATTCAGGCGTTGAGGTAGCTCAAGGCGGCAGAGGTGGATTCCTTGCGCGCGGGAATTTGAAAACGTCAAATGAGCGGGGAGCCGGGAAACAGCTCCACCGCTACTTTACGCCGGCTTTCCTCGAATAGAAAGCATAGGCACTAATTGGTGACGGACATGAACTCGCGCCCACTTGCTGACGGCTTCCCCAACCCCTTCCCATCCTCCTCCTTGGAAAAAAGGGTGACGGCCTTGAGATTTTTTTTTTGTTTTTTTGTTTTTTTTGGGAGGCCTTGAGATACCATCGCCGCCCACACACACACAAAGAAAAGATATCATCGTCAACCCAAAAAAAAAAAGAAAAAAAAAAAGGGGTAACTACGGCGCAGTCACGAAAACAGTTTGTAAATGCATTTCAAACTGCGTTTTGGCACTTCAGTCAGGGCCCGAGTTTGAAATCCAGTTCAAACTCGGGCTGCCTTCAGTCAGGGCCCTCGTCTATGGACGAACAGCAGTTGAAAAAAAAGAAAGGAAAAACAGCATCCCTTATGCTGTGATTGCGGTCCCATACAGGGTGCTACAGTACTTGGGACAGGATGCTACAGTACTTGTCTTGAACCGAAAATGAAGCGAGGCAGCTAACTGCCTCGCGTGGAATCCGCCCTGCCTGGCTGGCAGGGCGGTACAACGACCTCAGAACAAAAAGCAAACAAAAAAAAAAGACATGTCTCACGGTCCTCCCGTACTGGCCAGATACAGAGCTCCTCGTTTCTTTTCTTTTTTTTTTTAACTTTTTCTTTTCCCTTTTTTTTTGAGCCTCCATCCCTGGCACGAGTCCAACTTTTGAGAGTTCGCGTTTGCCTGTGAAAGGTAGGGGTGGGGAGGGGGGGGGGGCGACCGGAACGCGCTTTCAGCTGCGTTGTCTACGCTTGCGCCAGCGCGAGTTACCGTGCTAGGGTAACTTGGCTAACCCTAACTTACCATCAGYGATGGCGAGTTAAGGGGAGCATCAACCTCTCATGGTAGCTCCATTTCGTTTGCTAGAAGTGGAGTAGGATGCGCGGCTTACCGGGGCAAAGTCCCAAAACAGAAATTACCAGATGCTACGTAGACAAGGCGAGCTCTTCTCGAGCTCTTCTCGCCCTGTCTCCAGACCTTCACAGAAGCGTCGCCAGATACTCCGCTCTATTATGATTTCGCTTACCACGATCAGGATTACCGCAATAGGTTTTCTGGATCGCAGCCACTTCTGGAAATTTTTCCTTTCCATCACAACCTCTCTTGTTCTTTCCTATCTTTAACCAAGTAGACATCTATAATACCGCCCCGTTGTCGCGTTTCGATCCTTCATTCCTTTCCCTACTGAGGAATCTAGGGAAAGTAAACAAGGAAAGGTTCTTTCTGTCCCACTTTCACCTTCCCAGGAAAGCGACACGATCGACCCCGGATTTTTTCCCGTAATCATTATCCCTAAATTCCTTTCATCATTCCTAATAGCTCCTCTCCTCCTGCACTCTCCCCCTGACCAATACGATGACGAGATCTACTCTCTCTCGCTAAACAAGAACCGTACAATCGTTACTCTCCCTACTTGAAGGCCAAGGTCCATCGGGCGGCGAACATCTTGGTATTCCCTTTCCTTTCTCCTGAGAGCAGATACAATGGACCAGGACGCAGAAGGGGGTGAACAGGACCAGGCGTCGAGCATCGATGGGGCAGAGGAATAACGTATCCAAACACTGCTCCAACAGTGTTTTATTCAGGGCAATATTCCGGATCTGGACCAGTACCTAGAAATGGACACGGAAGAGGACAGCATCAACGGCGTGGTTCATGAAGATTTCAACAAGATCCAGATTCAATGGCTGAAGGATCATACAGTGGTGTTCATTTTCGGAGGAAAAGCCAAGAACTTGGGAAACAAGGAGAAGTTACAATTTGTACGGAATTTAGAGGATGGACGATTGAGGTCGGAATTCAAAGCGTTCGGAAGGGGCTCCACTCACGTGGAGGGTAGATCAATGATTACGTACATTGCTAGGTCGATAGAGGCGAAAGAGTCAATGATGGGTAGGAAGCCGGAGATCAACTTCACTTTGGATAGACAAAAATATAAGGTAATTATTCGATCGTGGCTTCCTAAAAATGAATGGGAAACGGAAAGAGAGAGGGAGAGGGTGGAAAATTACTGGGTAATGGCGGTAAGGTCTCCGCTATACTCTCTTTCCTTCATTCGCACCATGGTGAAAAAGGCGATAGGACCCATTGTTAAGGAGTTTGAACCGGTGGAGGACGAATCGATTCCTCATTTGGTTAATGCTAAATTCGATATCGATAGATCGCACGAGTCCAGATTTAAACCGGTCCTCACACTAAGAGTAGGCCTCGACACACTGTCTGCAGACCTGGTGGACAGTAACACACCTTGGTGCAGGACTYGCAGATGGTACGGTCACCACACCACGGARTGTCCAGACAAAGAAGAAGAGTCRAAGGATYAGGCCCYAAGGCGATMCGATCGCTCAACGAGGTTCCSYYAAGAGGAAGGTTCAAGMTGGAGACCAAGCGGACCAGTTTCAGAAGTTTCGGGCGGGGATCTTCGTSCTGGAGTTAACCCCATCCCRCAACCAGGCCASGCAACAAGGGGAGAGAAYGGGAACCGGCCCTCGGCATCARGAGAGACACGCACAACTCCACCWGTAGCTCAAGGTCATCCTACGACGACAGCGAATCACGTGACTCAGGGGCAGTTCCCTRTGYCGTTGCCACGACCAACCCCATCTGACCCAAACCYACTTGGAGAAGCARGAGGGAGGGTCTCATATGGGGATAGGGAGGGGCAACARGTGCCTCCGACATCGAATCCTKCCATGGGCGGGARAAGAACTCCGCACTCCGCAACTGTCAATCAACAACARAATACAGATACCACACCTCGCAMGGGGACAGRCTCTGACAKAGRAAAGCACGCTAACAACACCGCCTACAATGTATCARCTTCCTCATCAGCAGGCCGAGGCAGAGATTTTGGTTCTACACTCCTGGAAAAGCGGACGGCAGGCCAGGCAGCATCTACCTCTTCTCCAATAGTTCCCTYTCCCCTCTCCTCGAGAGGTAGAGGGAACGCTGGAGGGAGAGGGRGAAACATGAGAAGGAAGGTTAATGCTAAAATTAACATTACCATTCCTGAATCCCCCAGATCTCCAGGGATAGGAGCGACCTCAGTGGAAAACAATTTGCAAGTCTCACCGACAAAATTCAGCAGAAGAGAGCTACCTCCTACGACACCTGCGGATGGACAGCTGCATCAGGAGACAAGGGTATACTCCATGGTCCAATCACTCGAACAAGGGATTCAACAAGAGGTGTCCTTGGCGCAGGGACAGGGAAAACATTATCATCCACTACAGACAGATGGAGGTCAAGCTGCATCCACTCCAATGACGTCCATCTCCAAAGAGCAGCATTCAAAGCAGGTAACCTTCACCAATCTCTTTTGCCCTATTATCCTAAGAGACAACGCCATCTCTGCTGAGTGGCTAACTCTCCCCAACCAGCAGGGACCCCTCAGACTACCTGTTTGGGAATTGGAAGACATCCCCTCCCCATCTGTAGCCTCCCAGTTGGTTGATGAATACCTCGCTGATAGGTATGAAACCAAATTGATAAGCGGCTATAGCATGTCACGACTGGGTCCGTTTTCCGGACACTCGGCTAAGATGACATTTGTTTTTGTCTATCTTATTAATGCCCGGCCCCTAAGGGACCCGACTGTGGCAGATTTTGACGGGGGTCTCCATTGGCTCTCTACCGATGTATTCAAATCTGCGAATATCAAAGATTTGCATATGATCATGATCTCTGACGAGATCAAGGGAGATACTCTGGCTCAGTTGAATACGCAACTAACAGGGAATAAAAACTTATTCTCCAATTTCTTGTTGGACTCCCTCAGGAAACCGTGGGACTCAGACCTCATGATGGAAGGAGGAGTTGACGCTACAGACCATGGTCAAGCGCCAATCCAGGCAAGAGCGCAATCCGAGGGCGTAAATGCCCATTAACAAAGCGCGGTTAGTCACATGGAATGTTAGAGGACTTGGAGATGACAATGGGAGACATAAGAAAGCAAGACTGAAAACATGGTTCCACCAAAAGAATATCCAGGTTGCCTTACTTGAAGAGACAAAGTTGAATGAAAGGAAAATTAGTGAGTCAGGTAATTGGTGAGGAGACAAACAATGGTGGGCTCCTGCGGACGGAACAAAGGGAGGGGTAGCAATCCTATTTCATAGGAATTTCGACTGTATAGTTTTAGATTCCTTCTATGATTCATTAGGGAGATGAGTTTGGGTTAAAGTGCTTATTAATGAGGAAGAGTGGACCTTCATGTCGATTTACGCACCGGTAGATCGCAAAGAAAGGCGAATTTTTTTTTCACAAATCCAAAGGTTTATCCCTGACGTAAGTAATTTAATTATAGGAGGGGATTGGAATTCCACGATAGACCCCACGCTAGACTCCTCTAGTGGAGAAGGAAATTGGCAAGACTCCAAAAGGTTTAAGGACTTCATTCTCGACCATGACTTCAAAGACGCATTCAGAAGTATATACCCCGATGCAAAGGAATATACTTGGGTCTCAGCATCCTCTTCGGACACCAATCCGGTAGCTAGGAAGAGGTTAGATTACTGGCTTATCAGGGAGCACAATTGGGATCTCGTTATGGATGTCACAATCCACTCGGATCCTTTATCAGACCACACACCAGTAACAATGGAAGTATCCCTAGGAGCCAAAGTGGCCACAGCAAGGGACCTTCCAAGGATACATGCACAAGTCCTGGATGACCCGGGCGTCAAAACCTGGGTCCCTGAATTCTGGAAGGATTGGGAAGAGGAGAAGTCTGTGTTTGACACACAGGTAGAGTGGTATGACGCTGGTATTAGACAGACCACGAAGATGTTGGAATTATTCAGTTTAGCTAAGGTTAGGGAAAGAAACGCCAAGGAAGCCGAGCTAAGAAAGAAAGTGGAGAAAGCAGAACAGAGAATGACACAGGAACCTTTCAACTTATCGTATTGGACAGAAGTAAGAGACCGATGTATGAGTCGCTGGGAARATCATCAGATCAAACGGGAAGAAGAATGGCTTAAATACTCTGCAGTCAAGAAGATCCTGCACAACGACAGAAWGTCGACRCARTTTTTTCATAAAGCCACAGTCTGTAAAGGTAGTACTCAGATGACAGAAATCTTCCACCCCTTTGATTCTTCCCTACCACCAGCCAAAGACACAGAGGAGATATGCTCCTACGTTAGGCTCTTTTATGAAAGACTACTATCAACAGAGAAAACTTCCGGGGAACTTTTGGTTCCACCTGAGGAGGAGGAGAAGTTGTGGGACCCGAACATGAAGAAGATCAGCTCACCCCAAAAAGACCGACTGGACGAAAAGACCACACTAGAAGAACTCACTGGGGCTATGAACAGCATGGCACTGGGGAAATGCCCAGGCCCTGATGGTCTTCCTGTGGAATTCTTCAAAAAGTCTTGGGGTATTTTTGGCCCAATACTATTGGAGATTTTCAATAAGGTCATCGAGGGATATACCTTGGGTAAGGAGATGATGGAGGGAGCAATCACCTTCATTTATAAAAAGAATGAGAAACGAGATATAAGGAACTATCGACCCATCACATTACTCAACGCAGGCGGGAAGATACTTGCAAAAGTTCTATCTCGTCGCATCTCAGAGCTATTACTTGAATTAGTTCACCCAGACCAGTCTGGTTTCATTAAAGGCCACCTGGTACTAGACAATGTCATGACCATAACACAGGCCATGGAGATCATAGAAAGCAGAAAATCTACAGAAGTCATTTTACTAATAGATTTTGAGAAGGCCTATGATAGGATCAACTGGGATTTTGTGATTCAGGTACTGGAACATAGGGGATTTGGACCGGTTTTCTGCAATTGGGTAAGGAAGCTATACCACGACTCGATTGCATCAGTAGTGGTCAATGGCAATAAATCATCTCCTTTCGTTTTATCAAGGCCTACAGATCACACCCGACTATCAGCTAAAGTCATCGGCCCTGGCTGATGATTTGGCAGTAGTATCAGAAAACTCTACGCATTCGATAGAGGCGGTTAAAGAATCACTGGAGTTGTTTAGCAAAGCCTCAGAGGCAAAGGTGAGCTGGGTAAAATCTGTCGCACTCACTAGAGACAACACACCGTTAGCAGTAGATCTGGGTATGCAGATCAAGGACAGGGATCACTCGGAACGATTCCTGGGAATCGAAGTTTCGTATGGGAATAATGAGAGGAAGTAGGGTAGGATCATTGAAGACCGCGTGGTGAACAGACTCACGACGTGGTCCAATGTATGGCCAGTTTCCCTGTTCGGCCAAGCCATAGTAATAAACACTATGGTCCTCTCTACGATCTGGTACATATTGTCTATCAAACCTATTCCTACGAGCACCGAACAACTACTCAGACAGCGGATTGCTACTTACCTCTGGAAAGGTACGATAGACAACGGTAGAGCCTTACCGAAAGTCGCCTGGTGGAAGATCACTCAGAAAAGGAACGAGGGAGGTCTAGGTCTGCTAGACATACTCTCTCAGAACAAGGCTCTGCTGATAAAGTGGATTGTCAGACTCCTGGTTTTGGATACTAACCGCCCCTGGATCAGACTAGCACAACAGATTCTCATGGAAGAATGGGGGTTGTCAAACCCAGAAAGCGTATGGGCATGTTTGTTCATGAAAGGTTTTTTGAGAATGAGGGTGAAATCTCGGACGTGGGCTCCAATTCTGAAGGCATGGTGTAATCTGCTCCCTTCTGTCATTCACTGGCCTACCACCGCATAAGAAGTTCTGTGTCAGAATCTGTTTGATAACTCGGCAATTAGAGGTACCTCAGGTAATAGTATTATAATCACAACGAACTCATTTGGCAAGACTTGGGTATGTAGAGGCATCTTTCAGATAAGACATATTTGGGATACGGAGAATAGAGAGTGGAAACAAGTATCTGAGATTCAGAGGAAATTGGGCCAACTTCCTAATATCCAAGCTAACTTGAGCCTAATCATAGAGGTCATACCACAGTCATGGAAGTCACTTCTGTCTTCCAATGGACTGGCCAAAAGTACATGGATCGCTGCAAGGGAGAAAGAAGCCGGCATTCATCAGGTCATCGAGGTGCTGCCAGATGACAAATGCAAAACGGTGTTCTGGAAAATGGATTACAGAGGGAAGCTATCGAAGGGAGAGGACAGTCCATCAGAAATCTACAGAGAAGAGTACACCCAAGTTCTGGTCAAAGAAGAAACGCGAATATTTAACGGCAGGCAACAGTTGGTCCCRACTCTCTGCCTGGAAGGCACTGCCCTATTGCAGGCCAAGGTTCATCCCTTAGCCATTGGGTGGAAATCTGCTTCAAGAGAAAGGAAGGATGTCCCACTGATTGATTACCAAGTA